CATCGGAAAACAAAAAGATATTTACATTACGATTCATAACAGTAGCAAAATTACAGTTATAGAGTAGCAATGAAAATCATTTTATGGTTGGGGGTCGCCCGCGCTTCCTGTTCCAGGCTGAGCACTCACAGAGGCCGGCCCAGCCCTTATAAGCTTAGCTGGCAGTGCAACTGCTGGCCCTTCCACCCATGGGCAAACTGAGGCTCAGATGTTAATAACTGGCCACAGGACACAGCTGGTCCCGAGTGGGCTGAAACCAGGTTGGAACGCCCTGGACACCCAGTGTGAGGACAGTCACCACATCCAGCCCCCTCCCAGGGGACCTTCTGCAGCACACTTCCTCTTTCGTCAGCACTGGGCATTCAGACATCACTGGGCTCTTTGGTCCCCAGGAAGAAGGCGCTTGGACCAAGCCCGCCCATCTCCCTTTCATGCAAGGGGCTGGGGAGGCTGCTGGCGGCCTGGTCACAAGAGCTGTCTAGCCGAGGCTCCGCTTTAATATTTGGAACAAGCACCCTCTCCATGTCATCTGTGGGGCCCCAGCTCTGAAAGGTGGCGGGGGCCATTGTCAGGGAGCTGGGGTCTGACCCGAGTCCCTCCGCCGGGGACAGGACAGGGCAGGCCAGGAGGCACAGCTCGGCCACCTCAGCCCCACTCCCCAGCCAGATGCCTCCCCCCTGGGCCCCTCCTCCAGGGCCAGGGTGGGGACATCACGCTCTTGTGCCGCCCCGCTCCCCAGGCCTGTATCCGCTCCTGCTTCCAAGACCACATGATTCAGAACTGCACCTGCGGCCACTATCTGTACCCACTGCCCCCGGGGGAGAAATACTGCAACAACCAGGAGTTCCCAGACTGGGGTGAGTGGGGCCCCCGGCATCAGCACCCAGGCAGCTGGGCACCGTGCACGAAGGCTCCGGCTACCAGGGAGCAGCAAGCCAGAGTCCTGGTGGCCTCCAAACACCCATGGATGCTGCAGGCGGCAGAGTCCCACCCCTTTGACATGGCCCCGGCCCCCTGGCCGCCACCAGGAACCGGGTGACAAGCAGAGGAAAGCTGCCCTGATCCTGCTGAGCTGGGTCTGGATGTCTGGGGACAGGCTCCCCCCAGGCCAGGCTGGGGCAAGATGGCTGGAGAGGGGGATCAGGGGGTGGGGTTCTCCATGGCAGGGAGCTTGGACAGGACAACCCCCCACCCAGCAGCCACCACAGACCTTAGGTGGCCCAGGGCTCAGAGGGGGACAGGAAAGCACCTAGAAACCCCGCCTGAAGTCTCTGCCCCGCTCTCTCTGGCGCAGCGTATTGCTACTCCGAGCTGCGCAGGAGCCTGGACCAGAGGGAGTCCTGCATCCGGATGTGTAAGGAATCCTGCAAGTGAGTGTCGGTGGGCGCCCCCGGCTGGGGCGGGGTAGGGCGGGGCGCTGCTGGCCGCGACAGCCACAGGGCTGCCTTCTCTCTTCCAGTGACACCCAGTACAAGATGACCATCTCCATGGCCGACTGGCCTTCTGAGGCCTCGGAGGTGAGACGGTGGAGTGGCCAGGCAGCTGGACGCCCACCTGCAGGCTGGGGACAGGCCTGGGCAGAGGGCGGCAGGCTGCCTGGAACTTGGGAGAGGGTGCGCCTTGCTCCCCGGCCTCCCTCCTTCCCCCCAGTGTCCCCTCCCCCAGGCACTGTGCTGGGGGCACAGCAGTGGCCCAGACTCACGGTGCTTACCTTCTAGTCGGAGAGACAGATGATACACAGAAGTAAGGTCATTTCAAAGTGTGATAACGGCTGTACAGGAAGCAAGCCGATGACGAGACAGTGACCAGGGAGACATCTCTTTAGATAGGGCGTTCAGGGGAGGACGGCCTAGGAAGGCGACACCTGAGTTAAAATGGGAGGGTGGCGCTGAGCCAGCCACGCGCAGGGGTGGACAGCACCACAGTGCACTGTGCCCCTCCTCCTCCCCATCCCAACACGTCGTCCCCAGGGGGCTCCAGGAAGATACAGGGTTTGGCCTATGGCGCAGGTGGCAGGGCCCACGGCTGGGAGGGTCGCTGCGGGCGCCACTTGTTTCAGCGGCTTGCTTGGGTTGCAGGACTGGATTTTCCATGTCTTGTCTCAGGAGCGGGACCAAAGCACCAATATCACNGGGAAGACCCCGGCCGGGTGGGCCCTGCCTCCAGCTGCTGGTGTTTCTTTCAGGAACTTCACATCCATCTTCCATCCTGATTACGGAAACTGTTACATCTTCAACTGGGGCATGACAGAGAAGGCCCTCCCTTCGTCCAATCCCGGAGTTGAGTTCGGTAAGTCTTGGTTCCTCCTGGGGCTTTCAACTCCCCACCATGCGGGGGTGAAAAACCAAACTGCCTTCAGGCGTTGAGGGCCAGGACCTGGGTTGGACAGAGGCCGGCACAAAGCTGAGCAGCCCAGGGGGAGTCTGTCCTGTGTGCGGGGAGGCCAGACCCGGTGCCTTCCCAGCCATCCCCTTGCCCACACCCCTGGGGTAGGAGCAGCGTCCCCATTTTGCCGATGAGCAAAGCGAGGGCCCTGAAGTAGCACAGCTTAGCAGTCAAGAGCTCAGGTGAAATCCCAGCTGCACCCTCAGTCCCTGAGCTCGAGATTTAAGCTCTCGGAGCCTCGGTGTCCCCATGCGACGGGGGCCTGCAGTAGCCTAGCAGGCAATGTGCACGTCATCCAGTGACCGTGACATAATGCAGGAGAACCTGCCAGCCCGGGGCCCGGCACGCAGCACGTGCTCGGCTCATGCTGCTGTCCCGGGTTTTAATAACTCACCCGAGCCACCCGCTGACACGTGGCAGAGCCCTGACTCAGCCTCGTCGCTATGCAGCTCTCGGAGAGGGGATTGCAGGGACAGACAGGATGTAGGAGCCAATGGACACGAGGAAGTGGGGGGCCGTTGGCGGAGACTCCTGTGCTGGCCAGTCTCGGGGAAAGGCCAGTGGCCTTCAGGCCGAGAGCCAGCACAACTGGGAGCAAATCTCCCTTCCCCTCTCAGGTCACGACCTCCCCAGCCACCCCACTGCCATCGAGAGGAGCCATCAGGGCTGCCGGTCAGGAGGGGCACCGGTGGGCTGCCCAGCCCTCACCCACACTGCGTATCAGAGGTGCCAGTCACCTCACTTTACAGGGTCAGAGGGAAGGATCTGTGTTAGAACCCCTCAGCCCGGCTTCCTCGCTGAGTGACCTCGGACACGTCCCTTCACCTCTCTGTGCCTCAGTTTCCTCATCTGTGAAATGGGGACGACAGCCATACCTACCTCCGCTGCCTCTTCTGAGCACCAGCGAGACTGTGTATAGGAAAGCACTTAGCCCAGCACTCAGCTGTAGCCAACACCCAGTAAACACAGGCAGTATGGACCCCCGCAGCCCACACCGCCCTGCGGTGCATAAAATATCAGGTCTGGGAGGGAACGGTCAGGTGGGGATGGCAGACGGACAATAACAGAAGAATCACAAGAGTGAGGCAGGGGCTGCTAAGGCGAGCTCCAGCGCTGCTGGGAGGGGACAGAGCCGAGCCCCAGACCTGGTCTGGGTAGTCAGGGAGGGCTTCCGACGGAGGTGATGGGGCTGAGCTCTGCAGGCAGGGCAGGAGTTTTTGGGTGAAAGGTGAGGGCGGGAACAGCATTCCCCAAAGGCCAGCAGCAGGAAGGAGGGTGAGAGCTACAAGGGACTAGATGGATTGAGCAAGGACCTGTAGGAGGCGAGACGGGAGTGCTGTGCGTTCCCCTGGATCTACCTGCTTGTGGAAAAGAGATCTGGGGGGCGAGGGAGACAGGAGGAGCCCAGGGAAGAGGCGGAGGTGGCCTGGACTAGGATGGTGGCTTTGGAGAAGACAAGGACACTGCATTTTCGCCAAGTGGGCGGTGAGTGTCCCCTCAGCCTTGGGGAGTGAATTCAGGCAGCCCTCGGTCCCCTGCCCCGCAGGCCTGAAGCTGATCCTGGACATAGGCCAGGAGGACTACGTGCCCTTCCTCACGTCCACGGCCGGCGCCCGCCTGCTGCTTCACGAGCAGAGGTCGTACCCCTTCGTCAAAGATGAGGGCATCTATGCCATGTCGGGGACAGAGACCTCCATCGGGGTGCTGGTGGTACGGCCGCAGCCCCAGGGCAGCCTGCGGGGGACGGGGGTGGAAACGCACCTGCCCGGGACCGACCTCCCACGGCCTGAGAGGCGGGGGTCCGGGCCTCCCCAGCCCTGGTCTGCCTTCACGGTCCACTCCTGCCTTCCCCTCTGGCCGGACCCCCACCAGGGCGGCCATGCCCTGAGGAAGACGACCACTCCGGCACCTGCTGGGGCCTGCCACTGTCCAGCCCCTTTCAGCACCCCGAGACCCACATGCTTGATGGGAGGCGGTGCAGAGGGGGCCTCCTGGGGGTGACCAGGGGCCCCCACGATCGCCCTCTCTCACAGGACAAGCTGGAGCGCAAGGGCAAGCCCTACAGCCAGTGCACCGTGAACGGCTCTGACGTCCCCATCCGAAACCTCTACAGCGACTACAACACGTCCTACTCCATCCAGGTGGGGACGCAGGGACCCCGGGGCCTGCCCACGGCCCGCAGCCCAGGGCTCGGATCTCTGAGAGCTGGTCCCAGCAGGCTGGCTCTATGGGATTTTTGTCACCACAGGGTGGCTGAGTGGATTTTGGGGCACTTGGGGCTGTGGAGCCAGTCCAGTCCCTGGGTTCTCACCAGGGCCCAGGGCTGCCCGCCTCTTGTCCCCACTCAGCAGGTGTGCCCTTGGGGAGGCCCAGGGTTGCAGTGCTCTCACTCTGGGGTTCCCCGAGAGTGAGTGTGAGGTGCTGTGCTAAGAGTCTGCATGATTACATCATCATTTGATCCTTTCAACACCCCCGCTAATAACAGAGTGGGGCAATAACATGCTAACCATAATTATTAACTANCTCTCTGCCTGACCACGCGGCTCTCTGCTGTCTCCCACACCCTCTTACCCAAGGCAGCTTTCAGCCCTGCCGGCTCTTGTCCCGACAGCTGAAACGGCCCTCTCCTGCTGGTTCACCTGATTCTCCCTCCCTCCTGTCCCATGATGGCTGTGTCCCCAGGGCGCATGACACGCATGTGGCAAGCACCCAAATGTTCACTGAGGAAAGAAAACAGCCTTCCTGCATTTCAAAGTGTTTATTAATTCCATTTTCAAGATTGGATCATTCTAAAAAATCACCTGAAAATTCCTCTAATAAATAAATCCTAATTTACAACTTATTTGTGACGATACAAATGAACCAAGTCTTTTAAAAATAAATTCTGCCCAATCCCGAGCAGTTTCCAAGCGACGCCATCCTGGACAGCTGCCATGCGTGGGGGACCCCATGCCCCGCCGCGGGGTGCAGGCTCAGTACTCCACGCTGCGCATGGCGGCCACTGTGCTGGTCAGACGCCGCGGCAGGCCCCTGCTGACCTGCCTGTAGTCCTCGGGCTTGGTCTTCAGCAGCGTCCCGACGTTCTGCAGGGTGCGGGAGGGCTGCAGGCCCAGGGCGTCCATCACGTTGATCAGGTAGTCTGTGGGGGGCAGACGGACACAGCTCGCCAGACTCAGCACCAGGAGGGCCGGGCCCCACAGCACCCCTGTATAAGAGCGAGACGCCCCAGCCCCCAAACACTGGGTGCCCACTCTGCCCTCAGCAGGTGGCCTCTACCCCGAGGGTCTTTCCAAGAGGGTCAGGCCTGACTGTGAGTGAGGCCCAAGGCCAGGAAGTCTAACTGCAAAGGACCAGCAACATCCGCCACCCCGTCCCCACCGTGACATGCTCGGCTCTCTGGCTGACCTCACCGGCAGCTCTACACTGCGGACTCCTGGGTCCCGGCCCTGCTCCCCAGTGGACCCCACTGACCCATGAGCTCATCTGAGCAGACACTAAAGACGTCCCAGCAGAGTCGCCCCCATGCTGGGTGGGGAGTGGCCTAACATGACACAGACTCCCACACGTCCTAGGTGACCCCTTGGGGTGCTAAAGACAGACTCCTGAGCACACCCCAGACCACGTCGATGAGGACCTCCAAGAAAGGGCCCGAGGACTGTCCTTGGGCCCCACGAATCTAAGCACCAGGCAAGCTGGGGCGACACCGGCAGAGCGGAGGAGGCCAGGTGTCCGGGTCCCGGAGGCCTCGGCGAGGTCCTTCCAGCTCTCTGCGTCCCCGTTCCCACCTGCTGCCACAGGTAAGGCCCATCGGGCTGTAAGCTACGAGGATGGACAGNGCCCCTTATGACTTTTTTAATGCCATCCAACTGACTCCTTTGGGTTACAAGGACAGAGAGAGACAAAAAGAGAGAAGGGAAAAACACTCCAGCTGGCTTAAGCTCAAGCAGCTCAAAAGATGTCTCGGCTTTCTCCACTTTCCCAGGCAGGCTGTCCTCACATTGCAGCAAATTAATAAATAAGTAAATAAATAAATAGGCCATCTCCAACTCCAAACTCAGCAAAAACACCTGGGACAGGGCACCTCTTCCCAACTATCATAGCAAGTTCCCAGGCTGACTCTCACTGGTCACTGAACAGTTCACATGCCTGCCTCTGAACCAATCAGTGTGGCCAGCTAGACAGGCTGCTGAGACTGGTCAGGCCCCGCCCACACCTGAGGTCAGTTGGCCCCCAGTAGAATCACATGGTTTGAGGGTGTTTGGGGACACAGCTCCTAGGGATGCCAGATAAAATAAAGATGCCGAGTTAAATATGAATTTCAGATAAACAACGAATTCATCTTTGAAATATGTCCATGTAATATTTGAGATTATATCATGCTAATGAATTACTTGTTTTTCTGAAATTCAGAGTTAACTGAGCAGCTTGTATTTTTAATTCCCAAATACGGCAACCCTAAGGGTTCCCCAGAGAGAGGTCAGAAAGCTATTATGGAAGAATAGGTGTGGCCGGAGCAGACAGCTGACCGCTAACTCGTGGCGGGGCCCTACTGTCCCCTGCTGGTCCCGGGGATGAAGCTGTGGCTTTACAGCCTGGTGTCCAAGGGCCCAGCCCTGCTGGTCTTGGCCCAGAGGGCAACAAGCTAGCCTCCCACCAAATGCCCAGGGTAGCATCTGTGGAGAAAGGAGATGCCACAGACTCGGTGGCACTCTGGCCACAGGCTGCTCTGCTAGGGGATGGAGTGGGGAGGACCTGGGAGAAGCCGATGTCCCAGCTCACGGCCCGGCGGGGGTGCAGGCTGGAGTCTCGGCTCTTGGCAGTCACCACACGACTACTGTGATTCCCACTTTTATTAGCAGGAGTGGTTGTTGTCACCACTCACTACTATCATTTGTTATCAGACAATGGCTACATTATATCAGGCACTTACCACATGGCGGGCACCAGGCCAAGTGCTTTATAAGCCTCGTTTCACTTACTTCTCATAGCCAGTGAGAAATACTATCCCACTTTACAGATACATAAATGGAGGCTTGGCGAGGTGAAGCCAGGTACCCAAGATCGCTATTCTAGTGACAAAGGTGACAGTCCTCTTGCTACCGGTGGTCACAGGAATGTCAGCCCCTAGAGGAGCCCAGGGCTCATCTGAGGTTATGGGGCAGCAGGCACAGCAACGATGACCCAGGTCCTTGGCCAGCTTTCTGGTCACCAGTTAATCTGAACTGACTGAAGTGAAAAAGGGAACACATTGGTTCTTACGAGGTCAGACAATTAAGTGCGTGAACTCATCCTAGAAAAAGTGCTCCATACTTCATTGCTGAATGTCACTACAGTCACCTTCAAAGTCCTCCCCTTGGGAAGCTATGCACCGACGCCAGCGCCTAGTCCACCCTTCAAAGCAATGTTGGAACTCTTTTTCTGGAGTGTCCATCAGAGCTGTCGTTGGAATACCCTTGATGTCCTGAATGTCATCAAAATGTCTTCCTTTCAATATTTCCTTTATCTTTGGGTAAAGAAAGCAGTCACTGGGGGCCAGATTAGGTGAGTAGGGAGGGTGTTCCCATACAGTTATTTGTTTCCTGGCTAAAAACTCCCTCACAGGCAGTGCCATGTGAGCTGGTGCATTGTTGTGATGCAAGAGCCATGAACTGTTGGCGGAAAGTTCAGGTCGT